AGCACTGGAGTGAACAGCCTCTGTACGGGCTCCCTTAGGTACCAGGCAATGATAGGGAGCTGTACTCAAAAATGGTCCTCAAGTAGGCAAAGAGTCCGCTTCCTATTCAGCCATTGATTAGAGGCTTGCTCCTACCTTTCTTTTGAGCATGTTTGTTTTTAGTGGTGATATTTCAGACCCAGGCATCTCCATTGTACAACCATGTCTCACTCTTGTGAATGAATTCAATCGTAGGTTTGCTCAATGCTATCCCCATTTCCTTTGAAATCTAGTTTTATCAGCATTCTTCCCCATTCTGCCTACATAGGACCAAAACCAGAGGCTGTTTTGCTGAAGATAACCTGCCAAAAGCTTTGATATCAGGTGTTGTGTACATAATGAAAAGCTTGACCGTATTTTTCACTTACCAATTCATTGTTCAGTCCATCATTGCCCAACCTGCTCTTTAAGATTTTTTAATACAACATTGCCTAAACTGTTTTTATATACCCAAACATATTATCAAAACTGGTTTTTAAAATTATTTTTATGATAGAGACTGAGACAACTCATCATGAAATCAGACCACCTCATATTTACTGTGGCTTGGCAGGCCACTGTATCAGGACCAAAGCTATAGGAAATAAGGAGTGCTTCAGAAAGTTTGCTTCCAAGCTTCACATGTACTTGGGTGTTTCCCAGAGATGGTAAACTCAGAAATTGCTCTGCACTCATCATTTTTTATTGCAAAATTCATTAAGCTGCCACGCTATTATCATCCTATCTTGTCAAGATGATACATTACAGACTTCATTGCAAAACTTCAACAAGCAGGAGAAAGTACACCTCTCCCAGCCACAGTTCAGGAAAGCCTTTGGATATTTTTCTTGTGCTTTCCTATTTTTTGGTAGAAAGCTCTGTGTCTTTGCACATCTTTTTGGTAACTCCCCTTTCTCCTTCTTTGATCATGGGAAGAGTTTCCTGCTTTTGGCTCTGAGTGTCATGAGCAGCTGTTAAAGAACAGCCCTCTTCCTTCTGTTTGTTTTTTTTTTTAACCTTTACTCTTGAGTATGTTGAAAAGATAACATATTAGCCTGAATTCTGAGAAACTTCATGTCAATGGGAAACCTCCTCCAAAGTGATGTTGAAGACCTGTGTTTCATATTTACCTTCCATTTCTGTGTGTTCAGTGGGCCAGACATGTTCAGGCCTGCCAAGATGTATGAGTTTGGCTTGGCTGTGATGTGCTTTCCTGGCCTTGCCTCTGGGTTCTGTGATAAACAGACAACCTGTCTCCCTCCCCTGTGTGATGGAGTTGCCATTAAAATGAGTCGGAGTCACTTGGTAAATATGGAAAATGAAGTATCTTAGCTCCCAGATTTCCATGGCAACCCCCAGAACAAGTACAATATCACCAAAATTATTCTGTGGTTTTCCTTTTTTAGTTGTAATGATTTGGTTGCATACTCATGTTTTTCCACTCTTGATTTGTACAGAAAATAAAAATGCTATCCACTGTCAGCAGTACTTTGGTACAAAGAAATTAGTGATCCTTTTCTGAAGCACCTGAAGAATTCAATCAAACTATCTTTTTCTGTTCCAGCAAAGAAAAATGGATTGCATATTATTCTCATATTTATTATTTATGTTATAACTGCATCTTGGTATATGTGATGCATGGGGTAGGCACCAAAAATGTGTGGTAAACATTACCCTCAGTCGAATGGATACCTGTGACCAGGTAGTGTGTGCCTGTCCTTGAGTAGTTCGCATCACTAGGGAACAAGTTCATATCCAGTTGTCAGTGCTTTAAAATACATGTTTGTGAAAGCACCCAGCACATTACTGATACCTACTTATAATGGCTTAGGGGCTTATTTTTATCATTTCCTTATTTCTGGACCGTTTTATGTTTCAGTGTGTTTTCATTTGATTAATATTAAGAGACACTCTCGTTGGCGAACATGTTTGTGAAAGGAAAGCATTCTCACTGACTGCAGCCTGTTCCAGGCCCTGCTCAGTAGTGGACATTCTTTTTTTCTTTGTCATTTAATTGGTCACTGTGATCTTGATTTGACTCATAACTGGTTGTTGTATTTTTTTTTTAAGTCCACCAACCTGTAATTTATTTCCCCTCTCGCGACATAATTGCCATCAGTCCTTCCTATACTTTCTAATGAGGATGCCAGAGTTGGACTGATTCATCAGTGACTCAGTGAAGTCCAGCTCCGTTATTTGAAAGATTTAGTTTATTTTTACTCAAAAGAAGCCTCTGAGCTGCCTGTTCTCATGCTTTTCTGTTGGGAGCAGGTACTTATTTGCCTTTAGGGAGAAAAAAAATCCCTCCTCTTTTGAATGACAAAACGGAATCATTTTCTCTTTATTTCTTAATTTATTCCAAATTCTTAAGAATTTGTCTTGGGGTAGTTTGCCATAACCATTAAAACGGTCAATTTGATTCTGGTTAATCTGCAAGCTCTGTTTGGGTGAAGGCTCTGTTCTATTCTCTTGACTTTGCTAGTCCGTTGTGGGCCAAGGCCTTGTTTTCCACTAACCTCTCTTTTCCCTAGCAGGTTAGAAACAGAGATGCTATGTTCCATTTGCTGGGCCCTCCTGCATTAGGCCATAGAGTTGCCTAGTTTTTAATGCTCTAGTAGTAGATGTGTTCTTTAAAACATTGTCTACATCCAGTTTTTGGACTCATTTTGTGAAAATCAGGATTGTGGTAACATTTTATAAAGTAAAACATCTTTTTATATTGTTTTAAATGTGGTTTCAAGGTTTTGTCTTAAAATTGCTCATAGACCACTGAAGACAGACATATAGACCAATTGAAAAATACTTAAATATACCCATAAATAAAATACTCAAAAAATAATGTAAAGGTCTTCTAACTGTCTGGTGACCTTGTTTGGTATTCACTAGCTTCTCAATAAACATTAATTAAGTAAGTGAAAATTGAGGAAGTTTCATTTCAGGTATTTCTCTTTTCTAATAAATCATAATGGGGCAGAATGTCCTGATAACCATGTAGAAAAGCTAGTACATTTTTTAAAAGGTGTTATTTTAGGTTTGTAGGATCTTAACTCTCTCGTAGACAAGTGATGAAAATAGTCATATGAGATATGCAAATTATAGTTATTCTCTGTTTCCTGAGAATTCAGAAAATTATGTCATGCAGAATTGACCCTTCAAGTTCACAAACTGGAATGAGTAAGATTATTCACCTGTCTTCCTCTTATAAAGCAGAAAAGTCTTCACCTGACAGCCAAAGAAGAGTTGTCTTCACTCTCCCTCTTTCTGTGGTTCTACTTTGGGCTCTTTACAATTTTCAGGAATCTTGGTTTGAACATTCTGTGTGACGAGATTTCTGCTTGTACTGATTGATAGTAACAGGTGCTAAGTTCATTCTCTTGATGGCCCCCAAATTAGAAATTTTGATGATTATTTCTCTTCCTAGTAGCAAGTTCTGGTTTACAGGCTGTTATTCTTCCTGTTCTATATAACAGTTATAGTTTCTCTTTCTATCAGATTGTTTCTATATGAAATTCAAACCCTTGAGTTATGACTAGCTCTGAATCTCAGCAGTAACTCTAATAATATACTGTTTTGTTTTGTTTTTTCAAAATCTATATAGAGTTCAAAAATTTCCCAGGAACTTCACAGGGTTTTTATATCTTCTTTGGGACTTTTTATAGGGAATTAAGAATTTGCCAACATATTAGGCGGTATTATAGTGTGAGTATGTATATTTAATGTGAAAATTATTCTGATATCATTCCATAAGCATAATTTGTTTTTATAGACATGACTAGTGCAAAAAGAAAATATTTCTTATGACATCACTTTATTGGCTAAAGGGAGTTCAATTGTTGACCTGTAAATCACCATGTCACTGATTCTACCCTGTTCTAGGAATACTCTACCTGTCTAACTCTTGTCCAAAAAAGCCCAGTAAGAATTAACCCATTTATTTCTTGGCACGTGAAGCTTCTGTGAGAAACATCCGTAGATGCCGGTGGTGTATCTGAGACAAATGAGGGTGAAGAATGGCTCTGTACGTCTGCAATACCCCGCTGTACCAGTGGTGCCCGTGCTGTTGAACTAAATTACCCCCCAAACGTTTTTCAGTGTATGGTTCCAAGTTTCCCAAGATGAGAAGAGACAGAAAGTTCTTTTCTTTGAGCAGTATTCTACAGTTTACAAAACACATTCCTGCGTATGATCCCACTTGATCCTCATGACAGCTCTGCAAGCTGTGCTAGGCGACTGCTTCTCCCCATTTTGTAGATTCATTAACCAAGAATCTGAGAGTGGAAGTTGCCTGACCCACACACCCAAGCAGAGACGAATTCTTGAAGAGAACTCAGGTTTTCTCCCTCTTGGCTTCATAAGATTCACCAAGCATGCAAGGGACATCTGCTTGGACCATGGACTCAGTTTTTTGTTTTGTGTGTACAGACTATTGTGTAACCGCTTACAGTTCTGTCACAGATAGTTAGGGATCAACACATGAAGCTAGAGCTAACACAAGGATATATCTGGGATCGGGTCAGAAATTTAGACATAAGGAAGTTGGGGGCCAAATAAGAGATTTGATGATGAGGAGCTGTAGAGTTAGAGGTAGTTCATAGGCTGGGAAGCCTGACAGGCAGGCTTTTTATAATAAAGAGGGAGTGTCACAGAAGCCAAGGGGATATGGCTAAGTGTAAGCAGTCTCTGAAGACTGCTCTGCGTTCTGAGTACCCACTAAAAGGTAGCACAACTTGGAGTGCAGTGGCAGGGCCACTCTTAGGAAAAGGCTGGCTCATATTACAAAAGGAAGAGGGTTTTCCCCTTAAAATTTCATGTCACCCATTCCCTTTGTACTGTTTGTTTCCCACTGCAAAATTTGCTTTTCCCTATGCCTTTTTTAAGCTTTGAAAATCTCAATCAAGCCTCATTATTTATAATTTTGAATAGGAACAAACTATCACTATGCAATAATACTAACACTGGACTTGTGATCTTTTCCCTGCCAGAGGAACAAAGGAACAGCATCATAAACTCCAGTTTGGAATCTGTCTCATCAAATGCAAACAGCATCCTTAATTCCAGCAGCAGCTTGCAGCCCAATATGAACTGCAGTGACCCAGACCTGGATGTGGTCAAACCTACCCGGCCCAACTCACTGTAAGTACAACATCCACCTGCCTAGGGTCTCAGTCAGCCAGTCTACGAGAATGTACTCTGGGTCCATCTGTCACGACTGTGATGTAAACTTCTCCTTAAACTTGGAGCTTGGCTGGCTTGCTGTGGAATTTTTAAGCATCATCATCATAAAGGGGCGTCACAATTATTAACATGCTGCTGCTTGGCCTTGGTCATCTTTGATTTACTGTCCTGCTGAGATGGCTGTGGTAATGGCTACTGCCGGCGCTGGCTGCTGGGCATGAAAAGCAATTTCTTTCAGTTTCACAAACCCCAGAGACTGTGGTAGCTTAGTAAATCAGTAGCCAAGTCCATTGAACTCATTGGTGTGATCTCAGTTTCCCTTTCTGCTGGCTGTGTTAGCAGTGCTCAGTGCTACCTCCATGCCTCTGGCCATAAAGACAGGCCCGGTGCCCTTTGTGTCTGTGCGTTCTCAAACCTTAGTGTGACTGTGATCTCTCACTAGAGACTTAAAAGGGGCCCTTGTTACTTCACTTTGAACCCTGAGCAGCCATAGCCAAAATAGGCAGTTTGGGGACTGATTGTCCAATCCGCCTTCAGAAACTGTTCTAAAAGGGCCAAAAAGTTCTCCCTTGTGGCTCCAACCTACATTGCTTAGCATGCTTCTTCAGGCCACACAATAAATCTTGTCAGCTAGAACCTTTGCCAAAAGAATGAGAGGCCGTGACCAGAACAACTGGACTCAAGCTACAGCTATAGAAGAGTCAGGAAAAAGCGTGTTGACTTTGCTTTTCTCTAGTGAAAAGAGTTCGAAGTTCCGCCACAAACTGGCTTCAGGCAGTTGCTTCACTTGGTGAGATAGCAGCACGAGGGTGCGATACAGGGAAGGCAGCAAGGTTTTCCTGCACCTCTGTGTACTGTGCTCCTGTGCCAGGGTCTTGCTGTTCTGTCTCTTTAAGGTGCGGTATTTTTATATCTATAAAATGGATCTAATAATTTTTGCCTTACAGCAGATTAAAGGATATGAAATGCTCGTGAAGAAAAATACTCGAAATTATATGTAAGAGATACTTGAAATGAAAACACAGCTACAGTGTAAGATGAAATCTTAAACTGTGGAGAAGTCAGATCTCTTTTTAGTTCTTGCATTTTAAAATTGTACCAGCATTCAGAAAGTTTGATCGCTTGCCCTTTATTTGGTGGGTAATGTTTTAGTTCACCAAGAAGTGGACCAGTGCCTCCAAAACCTGAAACAGTTGAGTTTATCCAGCTTGTGGACAATAAGTCTATTCTGGTTTTTCATCACCAGATTTACCTGTAGAACCACCTGGCCTTGCCAAATGCTTTCTCAGGCTCTCTTATACCTGCTTTCCTGGACTTTAAGGAGAGTCTTATTTTTCTCCTGTTTTTGATTTAAGTCTCTGTATCCAGCAGTTGCTAAAGTTATTTGTTGCTCAGCATGAGCAAAGTTGAACTTCTAGACCACGTTGCTTCATATTTCCTGATATTAGCCAATCAGTACCAACCAGTGGTCTTTAATCTGTTTTTAGCTGGTTGCTCTGGGCCCCTGAGTCACTGCTCAGAACAGTATGTTCCAAGAGGGTGTTTAGGCAGCTAAGGGAAGGCTGGTGTCTGTGTAGGAATATCCTTTAAACAGGTCCTAGAGGTGGCATCTTGAATTTTTTTTTTTTTTTGAGTAGCAACACATGATTTTTTTTTTATATCTACTAAGGATCACTGCCTACTCTACCCAATACAGACTTGGGGGGCTTTCCCAGGAAGGGAGGACAGGAATAGTTCTACTTACTCATTTTTTGGAGGAGGATTGGAGATGGAAGTGTGGGTGTGCTTCCGACAAGACTGCTATTCCCAAGCCGAGTGAGTCTGACTGATATCTGTGAGTCTTAAGGACAGGAAGGACTTGAGGCAGAAGCAGTGTAATAGCAGAACTGGAGCCAGCATTTGCCTTATCCTCCAGCGAGTCACATGCTAAAGCCTTCGTAAGTTTCACAAGCAGGTCCTGCAGCTATTTCAAAAATCCAAGGCATTTTTCTAGGTTCCATCTATCCCTGTGTTCCCTGCCTGAGGTTTGCCTGGTGGACTATGAATGGGAGTTAGGCAGTCCTTATAAAAAGGAAGTCTTCCCTTCCCTGAAAAAATTAATCCTGAGAAGCCAGTGAGCACATGTGATCAAGCTCCCTCATACCAAATAAGAACCATTCATTCTGTCCACCATCATTCAGTTTGAGTACACGGTGACCCTTAAATGGGAATGCATGATATGGATGGAAAACAAAGATGTAGAGTGCCACAATCAGCCGCCTATTAACTGGGTATAAAGTAAGGAACCATTCACCAGGAAACTACCTATTCTTTTTATTTTGTAGATTATTTCTCATGAGGAAATAAATACCTTTTGGCATTTATGATACTTTGCTGTATTGTTGATAAATCTTTTCATAATTCTTTGAGGACAATAATAGAGAACCATTTGGAGCTTTCAATATACATATAGCCTGCTATGCCACGTGTGCCACAGGTTCACCACCATTTCAGGAAGTCAGGGCCCTCTTGTTTGCATGAGCATAAAGCTAAATCAGTCATCAAAATTAGAGGTGCTGCCATTCTACCTATGCCATGGCAAGGCTGTGTGTTTGTGTTTAAATCTTTGGCAGGGTCTCATCAAGACTCTGGGGGTAGATATTGTTCCTAAAGATTCAGGGACAGTTGGTAAACCAGGACCAAAGTCCATGTGGTCTGAAATTATCAACAAGTCTTGCTGAATATCTTTTGTTCCTAAATCTGTGCTAAGCTTCCTTGGATAAAATAGAAAAACAGAATTCCTGCCCTCCCTATGTTTATAATCTGACTGAGGAAAGACAGTGGTGTAGAGCAGTACTAACTAGGTCTCATAATGTATCACTGTGTTCAGAGTTCAGTATTAACTGAGTACCTCTGAGTACACATACTTTGATTCAGAATACTGGACGAGGTAAGGCAAATGGGAAGATTTCAATAGGTGAGTGAAGAACATTCTAGGAAAGGGAAGCAGGAAGTAGAAATGATCCAGGGTAGATAAACGAAGCCTACAGACATAAGTATTACGAGAGGGAGCTACGGTTTGTCCACTGTCATTACTATCAGAAAACCACATAAAATGAAGCAACCTTTAAAATCAGAAGACTTCATATAAAAATCCAAATTTCATGCTGAAACAACTGGATGTTCACCTGCAAAAATACAAATCTAGACATGGATTATATACTTTTTATTCACATTAACTCCAAATGAGTCATAGGTCTACATGTAATATTGAGACTCTTATGATGTAGGATAGAACTTAGGTGATCTTGGGTGTGGTAACTTTTTAGATGCAGCACCAAAAGCATAATCTGTGCAAAAATAACAACAACAAAGCCCAGTTAAATTGGATATCATTTAAATTAAAAACTTTTACCCTGTAAAAAAAACTGTTAAATTTATAAAGCGATAAAACATAGCCTAGGAAAAATATATGTAAAACACATATCTAATAAGGGACCAATATCTAAGAACTCTTTAACATTCAACACTAAGTAAACTGATGGCATACTTAAAATGTGAGCAAGAAATCTCAATGGACATCTCACCAAAGAGATTCAAATGGCAAATAAGCATATGAAAAGGTTTCCACATTACATGTCACCAAATAAGTGAAAATTAAAGCAATAAGAGATAACACCACACACCTATGAGAATGACCAAAATCCCAGAGTACTGGTGAGGCTGTTGGCCGGGATGTGGAGCCACTCTCGCTCGGTGCTGCTGGGAACACAAAGTGGTACAGTCACTGTAGAAGACAATTTGGCTTTTGTCTTACAAAAGTAAACATATTTCTACTATCCGATCCAGTGGTCCTTGATATTTACCCAATTGAATTATAAACATATGACTTCACACAAACATCCACATAGATTTTTTTAGGTAACTTTATTCATAATTACCAAAGCTTGGAAGCAGTCAGTATGTCCATCAGTAGATGTGAGTAAGTAAACCTGAATTCGTATTGCTAAGGCAGAGAAATCAATCTGGAAAGAATGTAATATTGTATGATGGTATAGTATGAAATGGTATGATACCAACTAACTGACTCTGAAAAGTGAAAAACTTGGGTTTATAAAAAGATCAGGTTGCCAAGAATTCAGAGACAAGGGGAGCCAGATGAACATTTAGGACACAGGCTGTGAAAGCATGCTGCGTGGTGGATACGTGAGATTATGACCTTGCTAAAACCAGTAAAATCCATAGAACACAAAGAATGGAACTATGGTCTTTAGTTAATAATAATATATCACTGTTGGTTTATCAGCTGCAACAAATGTTTCATATTACTGCAAGATATTAATAATTGGGGAAGGTTAGCGAGTAAGCAAGAGGGGTTATATGGAAACTTATTTTGCATCATTTTTCTGTAAAACCAAAAGTACTCTAAAAAATTATTAAAGTCTAGATTTCCAATTCCTTTTGAAAGGGAGAAGGTTCAGCTACATGGAAGCTAAGTGTTACTTAATGGGAGAGGCTGTCCAGTCCCCATGCTCATTGGCTTGTGTTTCTCCTTTAGACTTTCTTCCAGCAGTAGATTAAATGTAGTCCAGAATCTGTGCGGCCCCTCCCGTTAAGAGCTGGAGCCCTTGAATCCAGGCTGACCTTCACTCGTAAACTTAATTTGGCCAATAGAACATGATAGGAGTGATATCATACAACCTGCTCATCCTCAGCCTGCTTTGCAGTTTCCTCTCTGGACATATGGAACCCAGCTGCCATGTACGGAAGCCTGTTCTAGCCTCCTAGAGAGGGAAGCCCAGCAGTCAGCTAAATGTAGCCACATGAGTTAAAAGCTGCACAACTAGCCCGTAGACTCATGATAACTAATACATGGAGTTCAAGTAGTTTAATACACTGCAAAAGTTAAACAAGACAAGGCCTAAGGTTTTGTGTCCTGGGAGTCATGGGCACCTACCAGGGGATGGGGCTGAGCTGCC